GTGACCTCGAAATTGTGACTGTGAGTCACTGAAATTGATAATTTGTAACTTAAAACAGGAATCTGTGACCTTAATTTTTTTCATCTGTGACCTCGAAATAATCTGTGACCTATAAAATTTTAAATCTGTGACCTCGAAATAATCTGCGATCTACAATTTTTTTTATCTGTGACCTCGAAATAACCCGTGATCTACAAATTTCTTGATCTGTGACCTCGAAAAAGTCGCCGGATCGGAGCAGCCACCGGTCGTCGGAGTAGTAACCGGAGCAATGGTGGTGATGTAGGTGGGGTGAGGTGAAGTGGGGTGGGGTGATTTTATTATATTACAGTTAAATATTTAATTTAATATAATAATTATGAAATGTAATTAATTAATTTAAGAAAAACCTGATTTTTGTAATTTTAAACTGTTGGGCCTGATTTTTAATTTTGGAATAGTAAACACCTGACCTATATTTAATTTAATATAATAATTATGAAATGTAATTAATTAATTTAAGAAAAACATGATTTTTGTAATTTTAAACTGTTGGGCCTGATTTTTAATTTTGGAATAGTAAACACCCGACCCATAAACTTTTCCCTTAGCAAGTTCATCCAAGGGTTGAATCCATCGGCCATACAAGTCCATATGCCAGAGTTGGGCCAATACATTTCTTGAAATTGTGAGTTTCAAATTGGTTGATGAACTTCAATTTATACATAATTAAGCATTGTACTTTAAAAATGTTTTCCATCGATATTTTTGTTAGTATGAGTTAGTAAATTTAATACACAAGCTTGTGTGGCAAACGAGTTGGCTTATGTCTCGTCGTTTTGGTAGATGATGGCTTAACAATGGAGCCCTTTAAGGCTATTTTAAATAGACGCATATAGGATGAACATATCAAGTTTGTGACTCAAGTCATTCCTTTAAAGAAACTGAACAAAAAAAATTAAAAAAGTTGTGGGGCCCATTTCAGTACTTCCACCGCATACTCTCATGTGGCTTTGCCGCTGTTTATCTAGTGATAGAGTTAGGAATCGAATCCATCGAGGTCTTATTTAACTATTAATTTTTTTTAACTCAAAATCTAATAATGTTAAAAATAGAAAGGAAAAGATATCCATTTAAATTATTGTTCTCAAATTTCAGTGGGGTCCACCTCCTCCATCATTACTTTTCTCGTACATTATTGTTATTGTTGAGTATAATGTACCACAGTTAATTTGATGTTGTAGTATTTTGTTATGTCTCGTGAGTCGAGCAAGGGCCATATGGGCAGTCGAAATCTAAATAAAATTGGGGCCCAAACATGACAAAAGCAAATGGTAAAACTCATTTAAATATTTTGTCAAAAAGGGGTTGTTACTAACAAGAAATTTAAGAAATCCGTACTAGGGTAGGTTAGACATATCTTGGACATTACTAAATAATTTAAAATTGATTTTTTATTTGATTTAACATAATTATTTTAAGTAATTGAAAAAATCTATGGAATCATGTCCTCAGATCAAGCTTTTAGAGAGGTAGATGAGCTTATTGATTTATAATTTTTTTTCTCAATAATTACTTTTTTATACGTAAACTTTTCATTAAAAAAAATAGACTCAAGACTTGAACTCGCGATCGTTATTTGCTTTATTAGCTAATTCCTATAATCTCGAAAAACGAATTGTTAAATAATTGAGAATTTTTTAAACTATACCTTAAATTCAACAAACTTGTCAATATTCAAATCTTGAAGTTGAGTATATATTAAGATTAGGGCTCTTTAGTCTATAGGGTTACAAGATAAGATAGCAACCAAATACCACAAAATTTAATTATTGGTAAAATGGAATAGACTCAAGCTATGATAATTATTACATTTCGAATCTATGGGGAGGCCACGTGGACAAGCGAACACCATGTAGGGAGGAGTTCACATGCCACGCGTCTCGCTATGGCCTTCGCCCATATGGAATAAGTCAAGTCGCAACATGCGCTTTCTGTGGTATAACGTTATCCCATATGGTCTCTGCTTCAAGCGGTAACAAGGCTAGGCTTCGCCTATTCAATGAACCTCAATGACAACTGAATTTGACAAATCGGGTCTTTTAGACGAGGCATAGTGACCGGTCATGGCATGAAACCCTCCAGCCATGGAATAAAGGTCACATTGGAAAAGATAATCTTGCCAGGAACCCCTGAAGAACTCCCCCTATAAATAGCCATGCACAAGTAAAAAAAGTGGCATACATTCTTTAAACTCTAGTCAAATCTATACTTAATTATATCTCCTACACTCAACTCTCCATAGATTTTATATGGCACTTGAATAATCTTCGAAGTGTCAACGATCGTTAATCCTTTTTAGAATTTGGTATCTTGGTGCCCATCGATTCTTGTCTGAGTGTGTAGGAAACATATAGATAAATGTTGACATGGTAGAAGATCTGTTGATAGTAAGATTTGAAATTTTCAAAGTCTATAATAATGAAAATATGACAAATTAAAAATCTTTTGAAAGCAATTAATAAGTCATATTTTATAGCCACCTCACAATCATAATCAAATTTATTCATTATGACCTTAAAATGTCATTTAAGAGTTGAAAAATTTGTAGAAAAATTTCAAATAATAAGGAGCCAAATCTATTATTTAAATATTGTCAATAGACTAAATGAACAAGGTTTAACATGTATATATAAGTTGCCAAAATTGACCCTCCCAAGTTCCAAGTCTGTCTATTCTACTCTTACCAACCAAATAAGATTTTTGTCCCAACTATTCCAACTAGTAAGACTCTTTATGAAACAAAGTGCAGAGAACTGGTTAAGATTCTTGCCCACGCGCAATATATTTATCATTTGGGATGGAGTTCTGAGATTGATCGAGAAATATCTCTTAGAGTTCGTTTGATTGTAAGAGTGAAATTTGGGAAGAAAGAAAATGAATTCTAGGAAATTGAATTGTCTAGAATTGTCAATTCATTGTGTTTGATTAGTATAATTTTTCACGTGAAAAATATTGAAGTTTTAGATCTTTTGGTATTCGTTTGACTTTGTTTTATATAAAAATTGTCCAACAAAGGGATAGAATTTGTTTTCATTGTTAAAAAAAAAACAATTTTCCCACCAAAGTGGTGGAAAAACAAATTCAATGAAAAGCAAGAAATGGGTGTCACGTGGGGCTTTTCCATGGAATTTTTGGCCAATGAAACATGCAATAACTTGGATAATGGAAAATAATTTCCAACTTCCATGGAAAATAAACCCNATGAAACATGCAATAACTTGGAAAATGGAAAATAATTTCCAACTTCCATGGAAAATAAACCCCATCAAACGGGCCGTATTTATAAATCATCAATTTTTTTTAAAAGAAAAATAGGTCCGAAAGATATAAGCGTAAATTCATTGGCAGTACTATGTACCAAACAAGACTGAAGGACCTTTCTTCCACAGCCTGTGGATCATAAATCTTCATGATGATCATCTTATCCTCTTTGCTCTCCTCATTTCATCATCCATTAATTACAGACATATGATTGGCTGTAAAGGCAGCCTGAAAATATCTTTCAAAAAATGCTAAAATGTGGTACAAATTTCGAACTCAGTAGCCTTATCTTTTTATTCATCAGTGTGCAATGTAGAACTGTGTAGATAAAATGATGAAGGCCACTAATTATTTGGAAAAATGTAGCAACAAACTCGTTAGATATTGATGAGTCGAGATTACTTTTGCAGATACAGCTACTATACTATAATAAGGCCAACGATGAAAGATTATGGTTTTTTTCCAGACTTCATATAATGTTGCCAGTTTAAGAAGAAATTGTTCACGTCAACTGATTCTCAGAAACCTAGTTTTTGCTGTCGACTTCTCCCATAATGTATCAAAAACTTGCATCTTCCGTGGTCGGTCTCCTCAAGAAGTACCGCAAACTATTCGCAAGGACCTGCACGGTTTTAGGAAATCAAATATTGCAACTTGTGATTAAGCTGACATATCAGTATGTCTGGCTGAGCTTCGAGGAGGGGGGAGGGGGAGGAAGGAATTTGTACATAAAATCCAAAAAAAAAAAATAATAATAATAACAACTTACGGAAAACCTCATAAAATATGTTTGGCAAAAGTAGTTCTTAAAAGTAACTTTTAAGCTCAGAAAACACGCCCAAAGATCACTTCTACTATTATGAAAGCTCGACATACCTGTTGAAGGGGCTTGCTGACAGCTTTACCCCTGTAGCTTACGTGAAACTTTGACTTAGCCAACAAACCCTATAAACCAACAAGAAGCTTTTTCAGAAGTGAAACAACATATTATTGGTGATGTTGACCATATTGTAGTAAAGGAGGCAATAGTCTCTCGAGAATAAGTCATTACCTCTGTATCGAACTCTCCTGATTCGACAGCAATGTTTATGTCAGTAATGATCTTCACAAGATCGACCAGTAATCCAGGACGATCTGCTGTCTCCACGTATAGTAAGCTGCAATATCGCATCAATTATGTATTAACCCTCCAGATGACAAGCTTTATTACACCACTCAGCAGCTATCTATATATGCTTAGTTCATGATAAACAAGCCAAAGGAATTATTACGTGTTTCACCTTCGTTCAGGACCATCATCTTTAACCTTGATACGGGTTGCTATATCCACATCAACCTGCAGGAAAGAATAGTGATTAAATAAGGAAAAAGTTCAATAATATTCTCTCTGGTCTGTCTCATTTTCTCCGTGTGATGGACTTTGGTCGAACCAGATAATGTTTTGGGATCATCCAAATTTTGCACTTATATGGCTCATTTGTCAGTGTATAGCCCAATCCTGTTCAATACTACATAATTCCAGCTTGACTAATTAATCCAACTGACCAATAAAAAACAAACTCTCATTATGTTTTCAAATGGTTATATACATGTATGTGCAGAATAAATGGCCCAAGATTATATTACAGCTCAATAGACACATCCGAGAGAGAGAATATAATAAATAATGAATTAGTTTATACCATATGATCTGGTGGCATGACACCAAATGCAGCACCCATTGCCAATTGAGCACTTGACTCCTGAAAACCCAATTCAACATCTCTAAGAAAGTTGCATGGAGAGGAAAGCCATTACAGATGTAATGGAAATCCGTCAGCAAAAGGAGAAAAAAAACTAATCAGGAACAATACCGGATGATACTGAAGCAGGTTGTTAATGATTGTCAAACGAATTGCCTCCAGTAACTCTGGTTCCTCCACCTTTCTACCTGTCGAACTAGACACCAGCCCACCATCACAGGAACAAATGTCACCCCACAACATTACATAAGCTGATATGACTGAAAAGTTTTAGGACCCTTCTAGTATGGGTGACTCTAATTTGACACACAAATTGGTGAGTACATAATGTGTTAAGAAATTCTAGAGATTCCAGAAATTTTCGGGGACTAGGGAGAAATAAACTATACAGATTAAGTTTAAGAAATAAAAAATTCATCTAAATCCAAGTAATCTAAAAAAGAGAGAATTGAACCATATAGTTCTACAAATGAAGAGAATAGGTTAATTAAATAGAATTACTAAATACAAAAATTACTCAAATAGGAAAGAATCTAGAGCATAAACTTACGCTTTAGTAATAGCAAACTTGTTGTGCTTGCCAGATGAATCGAGGTAGACATTTCCCTTGATGACATTCAATCCGAGATTTTTAAGCGCCTTCATCTGAAATACATTCCAGAGCAGTTATACGATGGATATGGCATATATTCTGCAGAACTAGTGCAAATAACCAAATATGGATCATTTTAAAATCCAACAAGATTGAGCAACTGTAAAAGGAAATGGTATAATGTCATACGGTGTCCAGAAGGGCACCAAGGCGATCTCCAAAGGTAATTTCCACGACGGTGGCATCAGAGTCTGAATCTTGATCTATTATAACTACGGGAGTAGGAACTGTACCAGTTTCCTGAGAATTTGCCCCCTGTTTGTGCATTCCAACAATCAACAAGAATATTTGCTAATAACAAGCATATATATTAGAGTAATGTTATTTAGCATCATTAGCATTAAAACGTCAGTTTAGGTGGCAATAATGTGGTATTAAATGAGAAGTACAATAGGGTGTGTTTGACACCCATTTTTTTAAGATAAAATTTTTTAGAATAGTGATTGATGGGAGAATGTGTGGTGGAAAAGTTATGAAAAGTTTTAGATTTGTATGTAATATTATTTTATTGGAAGAATGTGTGGTTGAAATGAAGTAAGAGAAAAAAATGAGAATGAAAATTGGTGCCAAACATGGGCTAAATGGGTCACTTAATTCCACATTTCATAGAGCCTATCACATAACACCACCTAAACTGGTGTTATAGCACCGATAGTGCTAGATAGCACTTTTCATATATTATATTGATAAACATAATTTGATACCTCCACAGTTGTTGCTGGAGATGCTTTTGGTACATTCAGACAAGTTAAAAATGATGATCTGGTGCACGGGAAATATGTACGATTAACACAAAATGAAAATCAAGTAGAAGCACTTCTAACAACGCAACTAAACGGATCAGATGCCTTGAGTTGGGTACTTCATCTTAAGAGGCAGAAAATTATACGAGCGACCGTGTTTGGGTTGTTAGAAAGAATTCTCATGATTAACTGACTTAAATAATGTCAATGACAAATTAGCTGGTATATAGGTTAAGTTACAGCTACGCCTCAATTTATAGAAAGCTGTTCAAAAGAGATCATTTTTGTGTATAGGAAAAGGTTATTAGTAATCAAAGTAAAGTGAATAACTGATAATAAACACATGATCCATTGATGAGTAAATTCACAAAAATTCAAATCTTGAACAGGAAAGATAATTAAACTTATTAATTTCAATCATCAAATCTAACATTGTAATAGTAGATAATGTTTTAAATTAACTTTAAACTCAAAAAAAATCAATTTAACAGTGAAATAATATTCCAAATTGTCTTGGATTGACAATAGATATCTACAGAAAATCAAAAAAGTTCAAGAGCCAACAATAAAAATTAAACTATCTCTGAATCCCAAAATGGAGATTAAGATATAAACAGATCAATATTCTTGTAATGCAAACAATCAATAATTAAACTCAACATATTTCAGCAATCCAATCTTGCAGACTATAATTAATTAACTCCCACTAAATGGTCCAAGTGTGTATGTGTGTGTAAATTATAATACCTTCTTTTGGGAATAATGTATGATTTTTGAGCTGAATCCAACCCCAAAAAGCATCTGAAAGGAGCTGTTCTTGATCTGGGATTCTTCTCCAATGCTTTCAGATTAGTGTAGAGCCCCAAATTACTCCCAGTAGAAGCCATAGCCACAGCCATTTGAATATACAAATTATTACAAGAAAAAGCTCGTGTCTTTCTCAAATGGGAGTGTATTTTCTTGTTTTTTAATGGGATTTTTTTACTAATAACTGCTAGAAAAAGCAGGTAAGCAGATCCACAAAAATGAAGAGAGAGGAATTGTTGATGAAGATGTGAGGACTAAAATCCAAACATTTGGCTTCAAGAAAAGTGGGTGTAGTTAAAAAGTCTTTCTTCTAGTATTCGCTGTTAGTTAAAAGTTTCTCTCGTGCTGTCTTTATCGTGTGTTGATACTTGCCTCAAAAAAAATATATATATAATAATAATAATAAATGAGAAGAAATTTATGGACCGTTGGTCGTCTCGTCTTTGCTAGAATGCATAGCCTAAAAAAATGAATCTATCTACCTATTTATCTGTCTATATTCGAGTTAAAAACACATTTGATCACTCAATTTCACTTCGGGTAGTAATTTTTTATTTTCTTTTCATAAAACAAATACTATCTGTTATCGTAGTGAAAAAGGAAATGGTTAGTGATAAAAGAAGGGTACGTTAAAAAAATTAGACGAAAGAAAAAAAAATTACTATTAAGCCAAGTGACTTATTTTTTATTTGATCTTACTATTAAGAGATCGTTTTCTTTGTATTTCAGTTTTGTGTTTTGAATTCAGTTTGAATTTTGTGTTTTTAGTGTTCATTTTGAGATTACTGAAAATGTGTTCTTTTTGGTATTTTGAAAACACCAAAAATGCGTTTTGAAAATTTTGACTTAATTATAATTGAAAACACCCAAAACGACAAAATTTTCGTTTTAGATTTTTTTTTTATAAATTTTTAACTTGTTTTCAAAAACGCGTTTTCTAAAATAAGAAAGAGAACGCGCCTCCATTGTTTTGAAAAATCGAAAACAAATAACGATATGAAAATGGTAGAGAGAATAGACCCCAAGTTTTTCATTTTTCTTCTCTTGAAGCTGCCTTATTATTAAAAGCCTTGAAAAACCCTAAAATTTTGAACAAAGAACCGACTTCAAAATAATCAATTGAATATTGATTAATACACAATCAATCAATCATTTACAAATGGTTATTTTTGCTTAGAATCGCAAGTAATTCCCTCCCATTTGCAGCATTGTGAGATCTCTCTCTACATCAAATAAGAAGGAATGGAGCAAAAAATGCACTAGAAAATTGCTCCATGCATTAGCACGACTCTTGGGAGAGCCACGGACTCCAACAAACCTCCATGTATGATTGATAAAAAAAAAAAATCCATAACGAAGGAAATGGGGCATACAGATTCGGGTTGATAACCATAATTCGATACAAATAATTTTTTTGAACATTTTCTTCTCCAAACTTTAAGCGCTAACAAGCAATAGTTTTAGAATTAACCCCCTCTAACAAAACATAGCAAGAATCAAATTTAATGTTACACTAGAAAACGACATCTACATTACAGACAAGATAATGTGCGGATTTCCAAATAACGGAGACCTCGATCTAGCATTATCAACCTCAATCCACGGTGTATTTTCAATGCTCGACGCTCCACACTATTCCTGAAATAAATTAAAGAAGTAAACAAGAAAAACTGTTAGGTCAATAAAACAAGCTAAACCGACAAGGTAACTAATAGCACATCCATCAAGCAGAGTATATCATGGCCTTCGAAAAAAGAAAGAAGAGAAAGAAGTGGGAGTTCAAGAAAGCATTAATTCAAGGACTCAGGAACGAGTACAGAGACCGGTACAATTCAATTCAACAATGTCTGCTTGGGTTTGATGTTTTGGGGCTGGGCGCCATTGCCCATTGGACTCTGGTTAACAGATTTACACGCATGCTGAGCACTAATAATATAAGACCACTACTTTCCAGGTAAAGAATTAGTGATAATGAATAAGTAGGTTACAAGCACAAGCTAGAGCATCAATACAAACATATAAATTCATGTATTGTTTTCTCATGTCGTACTATATGTAAATTGTTGTACATATGGTGGCACTTATATACGACTTCTTTAACAAATCACTACTTCAAAAGCATGAGTAAATATCAAGAAAATTCCATTCATTTGTAAATGCAGCTACATCACATTGGCACGCTGTTGCATACAAGAAAAAGTCACAAAAGAAAACAAAGGCCAAACCAATATATTCAACCTGTTCCATTTCAGCAGGACCACCATCTTTCTGTTCGGGTTTGGTGTCTCTTGGTTCATCATTTGCTTCACTTTCAGCATCAGTTATCATTGTGTCATCTTGAGCACTTCCATTTTTAGCCACGGTATCACCATCAATATTTAGATCAGCAGGAAGCTGCCCTGACCTTAGCGCCTATAGAAATTCAAATAAATAATGGAATCAATCTGATCTGATTCAAAAGCTTGAAATAAGAACGAAAGCCTAGAAATGAACAAATAGACTAGTCTAGGTAAAGCAGCAGGAGCAAAGTAAAAATAATTTTAAGCTGAAATTTATTAATTATTCAGTTGCATTGACAAATGAGATTACCTCTTCAAGCCTGGCCACCTCTTCAAGAGTTTGGGAATTCACAATGGCAGCCTGCAGTTATCATCAGAACGTTAAAAATGTACAGTACGCATTGAAGCAAGACAGGAAGAATAGAAACACTATTGCAATTCAAATAAAAATATACGCGAGAAGATAAGAGGGGATTCGACTTTCTAGAATCAAGTGGAAGAAAATAAACCTTCTATCTTATTCAGTTGAGTTCATTCCTTTTCTTAAACATTTTTCTTATCTCATTGTTGTCGAGACAAAATAAGAGATTCTAAATTTGCATTGTGTTATCTTCTCTCCTTTTTTTCCCCTTCATATGTTTTCTCTACTTTTCTCCCGATTTCACTACTCAACTTCTCAAAAGTTATTATAGGCAGATCATAAATGTTCTCAGATTGTATAGGGAGAAGAATGAAAACAAAGAAAAACAAGAATGTACCTTAATAGCTATGATTTGCTCAGGTGTGGGAGCAACCGGTTTGGGCGTTTGCTCCTCCTTTGGGGCCTCTTGATCACTTGGAAGCTCACCAGGTACAAATGTCTTGACAGATTCCTTTTTAGCCTCTTCCTCAGCTTCTTTTGATGCAAATAAATTATTGGCTTCCATTCGCTCCTATCATCATCATACAAAAACAGAATTTAGTTTAACTAGTCGAAAGAACAAAATTCAGTAAATATTAGAAGTAATCACCAATACTTGATATGAAAATAGGTAGCGGTGAAAAAACCTTCCACTTTATATAAAAAATAGAAGTTTATCACAAACAGGAAAGTGTATGCATTACAAGTCATCAACGGGCAAGAATCATATTATGCATACACTAGCAAAACTTAGAATATAATGACATGCTCTGCATAAGAAATAAATACAATACTGACATGCTCTCCATACGAGTTTATCTTAGATTCTGCATTTTATGGACAACATATTCCATGCAAGGACAATAGCTATTGATATCTCCAACACCAAATCATCCAAGGGAATGTGGGGTTTGGAAGCCATCACTGGCTGCTAAATAACACCATAATACATCGGGTATTGTGATTAACAAACAAAACATATACTAAGAAATATCATCATGAGCATGATGCCTTGTGATAGCAACAGCACAACAAATTCTCAAGTAGAATATCCACATGGGTAGGATATAACAAAGTATGTGCTCAAACACAAATGTTTCAGATACATGAATCTGAGACTGAGTAAATCTTCCAAGATAAATTCTGTCGTATATAAATCTTTACGTGTCACGTCCATTCAGATTATGAGCCATACAGGAAAATGTTTTCTGTCACACATAAGATACACAACTTTTGTTACAACCATGTACATGATGAAACTTTCACTACAAATGCAAAATATTCAACCATGCCAAATAGAAACAGTTAGGTACCCAGATATGTGTAATAAGTGACACGAATATTAAATAGCTCCCATCCATCCATCCAATTTTGCAACTTGAGAAACAACTATACATTTTGACTTTTTGTTTCCGTTTATAGTTTCTGAATGCTGTGCATTTATTTTTTATAACACAGAGGCACAACACCATATAGGCATGAAGATACTGGGGAGGTTCAAGAAATAGGGACAAGCACTGGCTAAGATGCTCTAAGAAAGAAATACTGTATCCAGATGCACGTAATGACCGTTCTCAGTCATGCATTGCAGCACAAATTCTTATTATAGCTCTACTGGGAGTAAAACTTCAATCCATTGTCAAATTGGATATTCATATACAATACAGTACAACTATAAAAGTGTATGAACAGATATTTCACGCAGAACATACATGCAGGAAATTTTTGCTATTTTGACTATGGAAAAATTTGAGGCGATTTTGGAATGTATATTCTGAACTTTATATTTAATTTTAGGATTTCTTGTGTTTCAGAGTTGAGGGCTTTTATGTTTTTTGTAAAAGCAGATGAAATTTGATGTTATTTGATTTTAATGGGTCTTCAATGTTATTTGAAAGTTATTTGTTTCTACATGAAACCTTAAGTAATCTGAATGAGTCTCAGTACAGAGAATTTCTTAATTATTGAACTTCTTCCTTGTGTCATATCCTAATCCTGTCAGTACTTGAAAATCAACATGCTAGAAAAATGCATTTAGTTCTTCTTTTCGATAGAGGGTTGATCCTTCTAAGAATTGTCTGGATTTGCCCAAATCTTGCATGGGTGAAGTGTTCTTATTCTCCGCTAATTATCCTCGCATTCTAATTGACTTTTGAATCCTAAAATATTACTAAGCATAGATCAAATATTCCCAATACAAAATCAATCATGACAACCTCAATTATGTTCACATCTCTATTCATGAGCATCCTATTTGGCCATAAAATATTATTTTCTGGTTCTAATTCAAACCTCAGACCTCTACCTCTCTTGCCATCAAATCCATCGGTCTTCTCCAATTTTAACCCCCTAAACAAGACTTCCACGGCTACTGGAATTTCTTTTCTTCCATTGCCAATTT